ATGGATGGATATATGGGTGGGTGGATAGATGGTGAATGGATGGATGGATATATGGGTGGGTGAATGTATGGATGGATATATGGGTGGGTGGATAGATGGTGAATGGATGGATGGATATATGGGTGGGTGGATAGATGGTGAATGGATGGATAGATATATGGGTGGGTGAATGGATGGATGGATATATGAGTGGGTGAATGGATGGATTGGTAGGTAATGGATGGATGAATGGATGGATGGATATATGGGTGGGTGAATGGATGGATGGATGGTTGGATGAATATATGGGTGGGTGGGTAATGGATGGATGGATGGATATATGAGTGGGTGAATGGATGGATTGGTAGGTAATGGATGGATGAATGGATGGATGGATATATGGGTGGGTGAATGGATGGTTGGATGAATATATGGGTGGGTGGGTGAATGGATGGATTGGTGGGTAATGGATGGATGGATGGATATATGGGTGGGTGAATGGATGGATGGATGGAAAGATATATGGATGGATGGATTGGTGGGTGAATGGATGGATGGATATATGGGTGGATGGATGGATGGATGGATGGATATATGGCTGGGTGAATGGATGGATGGGTGTGTGGATATATGGGTGGGTGGATGGATATATGGGTGAATGGATGGATGGATATAAATGGGTGGGTGAATGGATGGATGGATATGATGGATGGGTGGATGGTTGGATGCATGGATAAACGGGTGGGTGAATGGATGGATAAACGGGTGGGTGAATGGATGGATAAACGGGTGGGTGAATGGATGGATAAACGGGTGGGTGAATGGATGGATAAACGGGTGGGTGAATGGATGGATGGATATATGGGTGGGTGAATGTATGGATGGATATGGGTGGATGGATATATGGGTGAATAGATGGATTGGTGGGTGGGTGGATGGATGGATGGATATATGGGTGGGTGAATGGATGGATTGGTGTGTGGATGGATATATGGGTGAATGGATGGATTGGTGGGTGGATGGATGGATATATGGGTGGGTGGATGGATGGATGGCTAAACGACTAAACGATAAACGACTATCTGAGCAGATTAATCAGTAAAAACAATACATTGGTGGACCTCTATGCAGAAGCGCACTATTTAAATCTAGATGGTTTTTGGTGTCCACAGTGTCAGCCCAACAATAGCCACTTCCTGCAGCCTCTGGTGAACCGATGCGGGCCGTTCACACACACAGTTCCTGTGGAGCAGCGGCTGCAGTGTGCTCAATTTATAAATGCCAAAGGGTTTTTTCTAGGGCGGTCCAAAAGACGTCCACAACTTCATTTAGTTTTTTTGCACATTTTGTTTTCTTTTTGGTGAATATTTAGGGGTCGCTCAAGCATCAAGAGTTTTTGTATAATTTTCAATTGACTACATTTGAAAAAAAAATATATATATATTTCAATGTGACATGCTAGATATACTGTCAGATGAGGTAAAGTAGGCCTGCTGGTCTCAGGGTCAGATCGGTCATGCTGGGATTACTTTATTTGTTTCTGAGGCGGTCACGTGACTCCTCATGGGTGGCCTATAGTGTTTCGCTGTGGCTGTTTAGTCACGATACGTCTTGTTTGCAGCACAGGTGTGTGTTCTTGAGTGACCCCTAAACACACCACAGTCTGCTTCAGAGCTGGAATATGCTTTATTTAGATGAAGTAGAGTGGATGTGGTTTTGTGGACTTGTTCTCTCGAGGTAGATCTTCATGAACCCTAGTGGAAACCCACTTCTATTTAACGGGTTTGTCAGTCATTTCTCTGAGGACACACTTCACATCACAAAAGCTTGATCAAATTTCACATTTATGAGTCCTTGAATCGCACATTTGGGGAGAGAGTATGTTGTGCTCGATGTCTTATTCAACATTACAGGCTGGTACATGCGCCAATCATCATAATCATTTTAATAACTGAACATGATTGCTGCATTGTAGTTCGCATGCATTTCCCTCGTTTTATTTAGTCACTATTTCTTGTCTTTGATTTTATATTAGGTTTTTATGCTAGTGGTGGAATGAGTTTTGATCATTCTGAGCTTTTGTATGAAGTGATGACCTTCACATTAAACTTTATATTTCTGTGAATAAAGCCACTGACGAGACCGTCTGGGGAATGAAGAGAGATGCTCTGTCCTCAGTGAAGTTCTCACACTAGATCAAACACTATGACTGAAGCATTCATCAACACACTCTTTTAAACATACACTTCAGTGATCGTACAGCGTCCATGTCTGTGTTTCCTTCTCAAGCCACATATCAATACTGATATATGATACACATAATATGCTGAATAATGAAGCCCATGTCAACTGAAAAGAATATGAGGTATAATGTACTAGAGGAGGCAAAATGACCGTATAATCAAGTGTAATTTGAAGTTGTAAATGGCCACTTTTTATATTTAAAGGTTTTTAAAGCCCCCCTGTAGTCATTAGTTTTATCCCTTAAAACTCATCTTTGATCACCAAAATTACATATTTAAATGTTTTTTCCTTGAAAAAAAATGTCTTCATGCCTTAAAGCTGCACTGTGTGATGTTTAGCGGCATCTAGTGGTGAGGTTGCGAATTGCCCGCAGTGTGTGTAGAAACATGTGGATGTAAGGACACCCGCGGTGTGTGTAGAGAGAAACGCCTCATTCTGAGGTAATAAACACACAACGGTTCATTAAGTAAAGTCTTTATACACCACTGAAAACATAGTTATGTGTATGATATTGCATTTCTGTCAACATATCCTCCTAAATATTACACAATGCACCTTTAAAATAGCTTGAATGTAACTCGACACCCTTGCCTCATTTAGTATGCGCGGTTCTATGAATATGCAAATGAGCCCCGCCTCCACTCACTCACCTCAGAGATCTACTGGTTGACGATCACACGTTGATCTGATTGGTTACGAGGTCGTTTGTGACGTCAGAAACACCAGCGATTTCAAACCGTGTGTTTGAGACTGTCTTTGGTTCACTGCAGTTTTAAGCAGAAAATACTCAGCAATGCTGTCGACTTATGAACTTACACATGGTGTGTCTTAAAGCACATTAAAAACACCACATAGGGCTCTCCAGTGCGACCATTTCAGTCACATTTGACACAGAAAATGACTGCATGCGACTGAAAGTATTTAGTGCGACCGACCCGATCAGGCCCGGTTCTGTGAGGCGCACCCTCAAATTAAAAACTAGTGACAGCATATATAGGTCAAACAGATTTTGAAAAGCGCCAGTGTGTATTTGTGTTCGCACTCTGGAGAGAGTAACGAGTATGTGTTTTACAGCGTTGAGACATGTAGCCAATCACAGACAGATCTGTTGACATCTTGAGACACAATGGCCAATCAGAGGCGTTTCAGTTCAAACCCGCTCACACCGCTGGAGTTTCATCAGCGCCGAGTTATGCATTATAACGAAGGAAATTTACACCATGTAAATAACAGGTGCATGGTGCAGTCTAGACCACTTCTTCGTTGATTATAAGGGAAGTGTGTGAGATCGTGATGAACGGAGACGAGTGACAGCGTTTAAATGATTATAAAGGGAGTTTGCAAATGTAATATTGTTTTTATACAAAAAATTAAATAAACATGAAGTTAATGTTAAGCGACTTACATTTAGGAAACAGTTTTGTCCGATTTTGCTCTGTTTCGTCAGCGAAAAAAGTTCAAAACAAAATCCCAGCTGAACCGCGGCACGTCTCCGAGCAAACACTGGCGTTTCCCTGACGAATCAATCTGCGCTTTCAAACGAATCTAGTGAGTCAACGATTCAATAAACCCATTCATAAACACAGTCGCTTGATTTGTTCCTGAATGAATCAGCCGTTTGAACAAATCACTTGAATGAATGAATGATTCAGAGACAGAGACGCTCCGCCCCCTACTGGCGGTTTACTTTCACTTCAGTTATTTAAATCATTTAATATTTCTATATTCAAACCCTTCTGTTTGAAACATTAATCTCATAACGTTGTTGTTATGAATTTAAATACATTCATGCCACTTCTGAGTCTCATTAAATATACAATATAAATATAAAGTACACCTAATGCTACCTTTTGGTTCTTATGCAGTGCAGAGACGAATTTTCTATTGATTTCATTTGATTGGTAACTTATTCTTCCTGATTACGTTTATTATTCTAACTCAATTTATAAATATAAATTTACGAATTTGACAAAAAAAGATTTCAATGAGGTTAAAAAAATGCCCCAGCAACTCATTTTAAACTTAAAGAGTCGAATATCAGCTCATGATGGGAAGGTTCACTCTGTGTGATCAGAAGGCGCTGCTACATTGTTTAAAGTAGGAGCACAAATACTCCTGAAGAAATGCAAGCGTAGAGCCCTGACACACAACATTAAAAGCTTGATGTTTGAAACCCTGGCGCTGTGTCCGTGTGTCTCCATGTACTCCTCCACAAGTGTGTGTCAGTGTTAGATATGGTGAGCTTGTGCTGACTTCAGATCTGTAAACATGTCTTATGGGACCTGCTAGGATCGACATGTATTCCCCTGTTCAGTTGTTGTTGTATTCACTGTCATTACTTTGCTCATAGATATGGGGGATGAGCAGACGTCACGTGACTGAACGGATGGATACACACATGTGTGGGACACAATCCCTGGTTTTCCTCTGTTGAACATGACAAACCAGCAGATTTGTGATAATTAACAGATATTAGTTTGACGCCTGTCCGCAGCGAAGCACTGCGTTGAGTTCTGCCAACAAAAAACACACACAAGAATGGTCCATTTTGCTTTCATGGTGACTTTAACTTGTCAAGTGCTTCCAGTCCATCATACTGGACATTAGCATAACCATAAACAGGCTTGTGGTTTATTATTCTTGTTTTTAGCTTGCTTAGGCTAACAAATCACACATTCACAGGAACAGTGTTCAATGTACAAACCCGTTCACTGATAAAAGAGTTCTCCATCTGTGAAACAGTCAGTCAGTAATTTTCACACACACACACACACACACACACACACCCTCCCTCAGGAGGACCTCAGGCTGATGAGAACAGCAGCTCCACAGATCAGCAGGAACGTCACCGTCACTTCCGTCACTTTCGCCTGTTTCCACTTCCGGAAGTTGTCCTGCTGCAGCTTCCGGCGGAGCTCTTCCCGGCGTCGCGTCTCCCTCTCTCTCTGCAGCTGCTCGCCGTAATGCGCCTGATAGAACGCGTCGAAGTCGAAGTGCGCGTTGGCGGCGCGTCGAGGCCGCTGTCTGGACGCGTCCGAGGAGCCCGGTCTCCCGGCGCTCTGCACGTCGCTCTGCTCGAGTGTGCCGCGGTCGTAACGCCTCCGGAGGCCGCTGCTGCCGAGCACACTGTAGGCCTCCGCGACCAGCGCGAAGCTCCGCGCCGCCTCCTCGCTGCGCCCGAGGTTCCGGTCCGGGTGATGCACGAACGACTGCTCGTAATAGGCGCTCTTGATCTGCGCTTGCGTGGCGTTCGGGGAAACCTTCAGGATGTCGTAGTACGCGGTGCGGCTGCGGTGGAGCGGCGCGGAGGAGTCCGAGTCAGCGGCTGTGCTGCGGCTGCTGTGCGCGCGTGTTCCCGGTGGCGCGGGAGGATGATAGTAATGCGACCGCAGTGTTTTAATACCGCAGAGTTTGTGAACGCCACTCCTCACACAGCCGCTGACCTCCGCCATCACCACAGTCTCACCAGACCTCACTTCCGGCAAAACAATGAAAATATCAACCAATCAGAGACAGGATACACTGGAAACGGCGTACTATTGGCTAAAGAGCTCTTCTTCTTTATGTGTAATGCAGTTTGTAGGTGCATTGCCGCCCCCTGCTGGTCAAGGGTAATCAAATCATTTTCAATAGGTTAATTATATAATTTTTCTTGTTGACTATTGAGCTATAAATAGTTTATTTTCTGAAAGTTTCTCTGTTTTGTATCTTCTGATTGTTAAAATTTGCAATAAAAAATCATTTTCCGATATTCCTTCATTCATCATGTGAATTCTTTTGTAAAATGTTTGTTGTTTTAAAGTTGGAAATCAGACATTTCCTTTCATTCATAATAATGTGCTCTACAGTTTCTTCTTCTTTTTTTTTTTTTTGCAAAACACAGAAACTGTCAATCATTTATTTTTGGTCATGTTTCTATACTGGACAACTTTGGGAAAATATTGACACATTTATTATAGATCATATCCAACAAGATATATCCATAACTTTTAAATTTTGGATACTTTGATTCTGACCCTACTAAAAGTAATGCTTGCGTTGTTATAAATTTAATTTATCTTCGTTGCAAATTTTATATCCATAAATGTAAGTTTACCAACAACAAACCAATTTTTGTGTGTGTTTTTGAATGAGTTTAAAATGTATCTTAATACAATTACATCTTCAGTAAATAAGAAAGCAAGTAGAACGACTTTAATTTGAACAATGATGTATATAAATATGTTACCCTCGTGTTTTTCTTTCATTATTTGTATTATTTTTTTAGTTTTCGGCTCTTTAACTCTTCTTTTCTCATGTGTATTTCTGATAACATTGTACATATTATTAATGCATTATTGTATTATTATTATATTATTATTATATTGTATTATTATTATTGTATATTGTATACAAAGTATATTGTATACAAATCATAAACATGTCATTTTGTATGTTTTGCAAGAAAAAAGAAAGTAAAATAAATGATCAAAAGTGCAGGGCTCGATTGTTGTCTCTGATTTTTCAGTTAAATTGGGTCTAAATAACCATTCTCCAATTTTAACGCTCGACTGTAATATTTTTGTCATAATTCCGATGTAAATAACGCACGTCGCAACTGTCACTTTTTTTAAAATTACATGCTCATAAAAGAAAACAAAAATATAATATTATATAATATTTTACTGCCTATGGTCTCGAGGGTGGATGGCGCTGTGTCTGTCGCCTGGAGATGACGCCATCAGCGCTCGCCAGACTCCGCTGTTCTCCACATGTGTTGTTACAGTAGTGTTGTGATCTGAAGTCGCTGGTTACAGGTTTATTCTCCGTCAGTATCATCATGTCTTGCCGCAGACCTGAGCACATGGCTCCTCCAGAGGTGGTGAGGGAACTAACTTACTCTTCCAGTGCTGAGATGTGCTGTTATCATTGAACATGTACACAACAAACGATATACAAAACACATACAGACGAGCCTGACGACCAGTCCTTTAATATCCGCGACACTGACACACTAGTTATGAGTTATTATTCTTTATTTCCGCCGTAGTTGCTGTGCATATTTCAGTCATTTCTGTGTTCTGTTCTTCTCCATGAGTTTAACTGCTAAATGATCCGAATAATTCATCATAACAATGATCAATGATTGAGTCTTTAAAGAAACAGGATTCAGTTTGTGTTTTTAATTAACCGAATGATCTTGACATTCATATCTGAAGAAGACAGTGAACATTTGAACAGTTTTGCAGAATAAATGAAGACATTTTAAAAAAAACCTTTTGGATAAGCCTTTCAATGATTGATTTTGTTGATGTTGATTTTATCTGATTGGTAACAGACAGCGTCATATTATTCTGTTAAATGTAGGGATTTGTCAAAAAGATGCATAGATCATATAAAAATCTGACTCAAAACATGCATATCGTGTTTTTTCATAACATAAGGTGTTTAAAAAAGCCATTATAAAGGTAAAACATCCACTGGACAGTTGTTCATAAGGTTTACTCTGGATCAGAATCGCAGATGAGCAATCCCGATCTGAAGTGCTCTACACATCATCTAAACCACATCAAGAACACACTGTAATAATATTTGTTAGTTTTATTCAGTTCTGTACCTGAATCCACCCTAATTTGGATCAAAAGTATCCTGGGATCGGTATAACTTTTGGATTATTTGGGTCAAAAGTATCCGAATCTTACTGAAGCGTTTTGAACAGAGGTTTGATCCAGAATTTCTTTTTTAAATCAACCCGTTCTCTGGGTTAACCCAATCCGGTCACTGAAATCAGATCCCTGTGGAACAGCCGGGCCCTGAAGATCAGTTTCAGCTGGCAAACATCATCGGCCCTTACTGATGGACAGGTCGTGCAGTGAACTGACCAGAGCACAGAGGATGAAGAGTACGAGCAGCTCCAGCAGTCGCTGACCACAACCATGAGCAACTAAACCCCGGAAGAGCGTCTGCTAGACCCTGGCCTTGAGTGACCTCGACCCGAAGCGCTTCAGGAGCCCGAGTGTAGTGACCCAAACAGCGCTTGATCGGGTGTGTGTGTCTGTGAAGGAGCGCGGTGGCCGATCAGATTTTACAAAACAACAACCAATCATATATGTAGGCATGCTGAAAGAAAATAACATTAGTCAAACGTTATTCATGGTGTGTGTGGCTGTACTGTGTGTGCTGGTGTGTATCATTTACACAAATGCGTGTCGTTGTTTTCTCATGTGCAGTACTATAATGAAGAGGAGGCCAAGAAGTACTCCCAGAAGTGAGTAGCGGATCAGCGGCCGTTACTGTCTGACATCCACAGTTAGAAGCATTGTTTGCACATGATACATTTAATTTTTTGTGTCTATATTTAACAAATTACTTGCTTTCTGTGTGTGTGTGTGTGTGTGTGTGTGTCGGCAGCTCCCGGATAATGCAGATCCAGACTCAGATGTCGGAGCGAGCGGTGGAGCTGCTCAGTCTGCCGGAGGATCAGGCCTGTTATCTGCTGGATGTGGGGTAATGGAAACATAAAGAAAAAAATATCTATATTTTTCATACACTGTTATTACACTGGTAACATCACGTTGACCTGGTTTCTCCTGCTTGAACCCGTCAGCTGTGGATCTGGACTCAGTGGAGATCATTTATCTGAGGTCGGACACTACTGGGTCGGGGTGGACATCAGCACAGCCATGCTGGGTGAATATATATATATATATATATATATATATGAAGAGTTTGGTTCCAAAACGCAATAAATCCATTTAGATTTATTTGAGTAAAAATGTGTTTTCTTTACTAAGAAAGTGGAAAGATGAAAACCACTATTTTCTGTTTCAAACTTTCACATAGCATTTGTAGGTCATAATAACAAAAAAAAAGTAAATCCAGGTTTTGATTTTCAAAGATTTATTATAAAAACAGATGATTTTTCCCCCCAAAATGCAATAAATCCATTTTTTTAAAATAAAAATGCAATTAATCCATTGAATCAATATAAAAGTTTTTTTTTTCATATTGAAACTGTTGAAAATACACAACAACGTAAGTTTATTAGTATAATATTTTTATTAAGAACTGTAAAGAAGATTGAAACATTTGTCCTCCTCCCGAGTGCCTCGTCTTCTTAATCTCCTCACGTAAATGATTTGATTTCGATGCCTTACGTTTCTTACCCACCGCAGAAACAACCACAGGTTCATCAATGCCCTCAAAATTATTCATTTTTTTGTTTGTTTGTTGATCGAAAAGTACAAAATAGTTAAGAAGAACTAGGAAGCCGAGTGTGTTTAAGGCGCTGCCGTTACTGTTTACAGTGCGTGGAATGGTGCGTTGTGATTGGTTGAGAGTGGAATGGTGCGTTGTGATTGGTTGAGAGCGGATATATCGCATTCTGCAGAGAAGGGAGACTGGCGTTTGTCGCGGTTTGGAAAGAAAGGGAGAAAACATGACAGAATAACACGGCGGATATCGCATTTTACTTAAAATTAAACATTGACTTTTCAAAACCAACCAGATACAATACTGATTTTTGCAGTAACTATTTAAAAAAAAAAAAAAGGCGTTTATCGTGTTTTGGAACCAAACTCTTCATATATACACACTCTCAGACACACACACACTCACCCACACACTTAAACACACACACATACAGACACTCACACTCATGTTATCATGTTCAACAACAAGATTGCAAACTGCAACGACGGGCTGATTAAGGATGATCCGCCAAAGGGAAAACACAGAAAGAACACATTAAAGAACACAGCTCTTCTGATGGACCATGACGATAATAATAATGTGTCTCTGGACGTAACACCCCCACCCGTAGATACAAACTATGAACTTGCCAAAATCTTAGTTTGTACAGAAAGAGCTTAGCACACGTCTTACATGAGTGGGCTAGTCATCGCAATGAGCTCTTAACAAAGCATCCGCTACTACATTGTCCACTCCTTTTGTAAACCTTATATCAAGAACAAACTCTTGCAGACGAGTGACCATCTCATCAATCTCTGGTTTGAGTTTGCCACGCGGGACAGGAAGACTAGAGGGCTGTGGTGGGTGTGTTCAATAGTAGGGGCCGGTAGACCTCAACATTTTGCAGAGCCAACTACAAGGCTAGAGCTCCTTTTCGGTGGGGCTATAGTTTCTTTGGCACCTGGTGAATTTCTTCGGAAAGTAGCATACTGGGTGTTTCCGCCTTGTCTTCTTGTAGCCAGCGCCAGTCCCGCTAGCATCCACCTGTAGCTTAAAAGGCATGTCAAAATTTGGAGCAGACAACACACGAGCATGACGTAACAGATCTTTAGCTTTAGCATTCGTTCTGCTTTAAGAAGATCAGTTAAGGGTGTGACAACAGTAGCAAAGTAGTATCCCGTCATCCCCAGAAATCGGCGTAGCTCCCGTGTTACTTGGCCTTGGAAACTCCACAATAGCCTCTACCTTCGCTTGCAGAGGCCTCACCTGGCCCTGGCCAACTCATTTGCCAAGGTAGGTCTCTCTTGCCTGAGCAGAGTGATTTGAATCCAAAAGCCGTTGACGTGTACCGAAGGAAACAGTCGGGGGTCACAAAACTAGCTGATCCCACCCGATCAACACTGTCCTCAATTCGAGGAAGAGGAAAGGAGTCAGGCTTAGTTACGGCGTTCACCTTGCGGAAATCAGCACAAGATCGCCTCGAGCCGTCTGGTTTGGGTACAGGCTGAAGACTACCCTTGTCGTAGCGAAGCTTCATTCCGGATTGGGCTTCAGCAAGATGAACTAGCTAACTCCCACGCTTTGTGTAGATGTTCTCGTACAGTACTCACATAGTCTAGCACAGACTTACGAGGGTATTCCTTAGCTAGGAACTGCTAGCGTAGGAGTTTTAGCGGGCTCCGAACAGCCAAAGACCAGCTAAGCGCGGCTAAAGCCTAGGGATTCTTGAGCGGCTTCTCTCACGGCGAACATCAGAAATGGCAACCCTTCCACCCAGTCTTAGTCAGTGTCACTGCAGTGTGTGAGATTTCAGGGTTTGGGGGAAGCTCTCCCTGTGACTCTGGATGGTGCGCAGTGGACAACTGGTGCTCGACGCTCAACTCGTTTGTTACCTCCTTTACCCCTGGTTGCTTTGAATGACTCTCTGTAAGCCAAAAACTGAACAGTTCTTAATCAGTTCACAAGCTACAGGTTTAGCTTGCAGAGGAACAGCTTCAGGATAACGAGTACTAGCACACGTGATCGGCAAAAGATATTGGTGACCAGTTTTAGCTTTAGGCAATGGGCCTACACCATCAATAATGAGTTTCTCAAACAGTTCCCCAAAAACTGGAAGGGGCTGTAGTGGGGCGAGTGGACTTGTTGGATTGGGCTTTCCTCCTAACTGACAGGCGTGACATGAGCGCACAAACTTAGACACAGCAGTTCTCATGCCCGGCCAAAAGAAGTGTCTGGAAATTTGATGATATGTCTTTGTGACACCTAAATGTCCTGAACACACATGTTCATGGGCCAATTTCAAAATCTAATTGTGTTCACTCTTAAAGAGAGTTTACCTTCGCTGCCCGCGCCATTTGATTCTGACGACACAGGACTGATGATGTTCACTCTCTACAGGCTGTGGGGAAGATGAGAAGGAATCAGAGAGATCGATCACATGTTAAAGCTTTGTGATTGAGCACGAGTTTCGGCACACGCTGGGAAAATAGCAGAAAACAATTGGTGAAGGAAAGACTTTTTCCTTTTTCCTAAAATCATGCTTACCCCTTCGACAGGCAGTTGCGAACGCACGGCAATGTTCACGAGTCCCGAAACCAGATCGGACTCTAGATGAATTCTGTGCATGCAGCCCAGTTCGATCCCGCGGACTGAAACGCTAGAACCACTGTAGGAGACGGCAGGGAACGAAAGCACACTGTCCTAAAGTAGAGTCTGCGAGTAGAGAGCGCTACCGAACCTCATTACAAATGGACTGAGAGTATTCGGGCCAGAGCTGATGGCACTACTCTCCGGAGTGACATTGACGAACGCTACGCTCTTAGACTTAGAGTTTTTCTGTTTCCAGGCTTTGCAATTTGAAAAGAGATGACCTGGGTGGAGACAGTAGAAACACACCCGCTTATCCTCGTATTTCTCTGAGCCTTGGAGAACAGGGTTAGCCACTGACTTTCTCAGCAGTTTTCTCTTCTGATGACAGAAGGCACAGAAGGGAAGACGGTTGTCGGCACACACTCGTCTGCTACAACTGCCGCCTCGGCAAGCGTACTCACTTTTGGTTCGTTTAAATAAACTACGACGCCTTCGGGAACACAACTGTCCAAGTCCAGCACAGCATTATGGGAAATGGAGTTAATATAACATCATCGTTTTATCAGTTAAGAGATAAAGACTTGACGACCTTAGTTCTTTTCACTTTACATATATTACTGACATTAATTAAATATTAATATGTAGAGGTGCTACAACACACACACACACACACACACACACATCTTCTCATTATAGAATCAGATTGATATGATATATATTGTGTGTGTGTGTACAGACGTGGCGCTGCGGCGGGAGGTGGAGGGAGATCTGGTGCTGGCAGACATGGGTCAGGGAATGCCCTTCAGACCGGGCACGTTCGACGGCTGTGTGAGGTATGAGCTCGTGGAGAGGTGTGTGTGTGTGAGGTATGAGCTCGTGGAGAGGTGTGTGTGTGTGTGTGAGGTATGAGCTCGTGGAGAGGTGTGTGTGTTTGTGAGGTATGAGCTCGTGGAGAGGTGTGTGTGTGTGTTTGTGAGGTATGAGCTCGTGGAGAGGTGTGTGTGTGAGAGGTATGAGCTCGTGGAGAGGTGTGTGTGTTTGTGAGGTATGAGCTCGTGGAGAGGTGTGTGTGTGAGAGGTATGAGCTCGTGGAGAGGTGTGTGTGTTTGTGAGGTATGAGCTCGTGGAGAGGTGTGTGTTTGTGAGGTATGAGCTCGTGGAGAGGTGTGTGTGTGTTTGTGAGGTATGAGCTCGTGGAGAGGTGTGTGTGTGTGTGTGAGGTATGAGCTCGTGGAGAGGTGTGTGTGTTTGTGAGGTATGAGCTCGTGGAGAGGTGTGTGTGTGTGTTTGTGAGGTATGAGCTCGTGGAGAGGTGTGTGTGTGAGAGGTATGAGCTCGTGGAGAGGTGTGTGTGTTTGTGAGGTATGAGCTCGTGGAGAGGTGTGTGTGTGAGAGGTATGAGCTCGTGGAGAGGTGTGTGTGTTTGTGAGGTATGAGCTCGTGGAGAGGTGTGTGTGTGTGTGTGAGGTATGAGCTCGTGGAGAGGTGTGTGTGTGTGTGTGTGTGTTTGTGAGGTATGAGCTCGTGGAGAGGTGTGTGTGTGTGTGTGAGGTATGAGCTCGTGGAGAGGTGTGTGTGTTTGTGAGGTATGAGCTCGTGGAGAGGTGTGTGTGTGTGTTTGTGAGGTATGAGCTCGTGGAGAGGTGTGTGTGTGAGAGGTATGAGCTCGTGGAGAGGTGTGTGTGTTTGTGAGGTATGAGCTCGTGGAGAGGTGTGTGTGTGAGAGGTATGAGCTCGTGGAGAGGTGTGTGTGTTTGTGAGGTATGAGCTCGTGGAGAGGTGTGTGTGTGAGAGGTATGAGCTCGTGGAGAGGTGTGTGTGTTTGTGAGGTATGAGCTCGTGGAGAGGTGTGTGTGTGAGAGGTATGAGCTCGTGGAGAGGTGTGTGTGTGAGAGGTATGAGCTCGTGGAGAGGTGTGTGTGTGTGAGGTATGAGCTCGTGGAGAGGTGTGTGTGTGTGTGTGAGAGCTCGTGGAGAGGTGTGTGTGTGAGAGGTATGAGCTCGTGGAGAGGTGTGTGTGTGTGAGGTATGAGCTCGTGGAGAGGTGTGTGTGTGAGAGGTATGAGCTCGTGGAGAGGTGTGTGTGTGTGTGAGGTATGAGCTCGTGGAGAGGTGTGTGTGTGTGTGAGGTATGAGGTCTTGGAGAGGTGTGTGTGTGTGTGAGGTATGAGCTCGTGGAGAGGTGTGTGTGTGTGTGTTTGTGAGGTATGAGCTCGTGGAGAGGTGTGTGTGTGTGTTTGTGAGGTATGAGCTCGTGGAGAGGTGTGTGTTTGTGAGGTATGAGCTCGTGGAGAGGTGTGTGTGTGTGTGTGTGAGGTATGAGCTCGTGGAGAGGTGTGTGTTTGTGAGGTATGAGCTTGTGGAGAGGTGTGTGTGTGTGTGTGTGAGAGCTCGTGGAGAGGTGTGTGTTTGTGAGGTATGAGCTCGTGGAGAGGTGTGTGTGTGTGTGTGTGAGAGCTCGTGGAGAGGTGTGTGTTTGTGAGGTATGAGCTCGTGGAGAGGTGTGTGTGAGGTATGAGCTCGTGGAGAGGTGTGTGTGAGCAGCTTGTGTGGAGTCACATGGTGAGTGTGTGTGTGTGTTGTTGCGTCAGTATTTCAGCGCTGCAGTGGCTGTGTAACGCAGATAAGAAAACACACATTCCCCCGAAGAGACTGTACCGCTTCTTCAGCTCGCTGTACTCCACACTGGTGAGTTCAGTCATCACTTTCACACGGCAGGAACTCTCAGACTGATGATGATGATGATGATGATGATGATGATGGGGATGATGATGATGATGATGATGTTGTTGTAGGCGAGAGGAGCGCGCGCCGTCTTCCAGATTTACCCTGAGAACTCAGAGCAGGTCGGGATCTCAGCGCTCATGATATTATTCCTGCTTTCTCTCATTGCACAAAGCCTGCTGGATTTACTATGAATAACTGCAGATCTGGACTGTTGCACCGGCTTGAGTTTAGGCGAACCGTTAAAGTCCCCCTGTAGTGATGTTATCCCTTAAAACTCACCTCTGATCGCCA